GATGCTCATGATACGATAGTTAACTAGTTATTCAAATCTTGTTTTATTCCTGTTCCATGAAATTATTCCACGCTGAGATTGAGAGAAAAGTCGCGGGGGGGGTTGAGTGTTTTGGTGCTGGATGTGGTTTTGCTTGCTCTGGCTCTTAATTAAGCTGGTGCTTGAACTGGAATTTCGCTTTATTTTCATTTTTTGTGGATTTGTGGTTAGGTCGAGCCTAAGGAAAGGAAAGTAACGTCGGATGTCGTTCAATATATATATATATATATTCCTACGCCGCTATGCCCTGGGGCGTGCCGGTGTCACAGGACCACGGTAGGTCTGGAAAGATAACTACATTGCTCTATGAGGAAGGGAAGAAACTATGGAGATGCAGGAACCTGAAGATGGGTACATCGGTCAGGCACGTGACTAGGCACGTGACTAGAGGACCAACGATTCAGTGCCGTGACACCGAGTCTTTGTGGTGCCAAATGCCATGAATCCGTTTCTGGTACCTTGTCCGTTTCCGGGTGTCATAACCGTTTCCGGTGCCATGACTTTCCAACACGTATGTACAATTCTTAGGCGAACTCATTACCCCGGTAGCCTTGGCCTTTCTTGGCTTTGACGCTGGACAACTGCCGGAGTAGAAAAATGATGGGTCCCTCCATTCAGATGGAGCCAGAGGCAAAAGTACTGGGAACTGTGAGGCTCGAACTCACGACCTCAGGATATTTCGATTTGTCACCGAATCATACAAGTATGAGACCTGCGCTCTTCCAACTGAGCCAAGCTCCCTGGTAGGTGATAATGTTAAGATTTCCACCACACCTCTATGGAGGCATTGCCACTCCCGCCAAGCCCCATGACGTCCCTCGCAGCGTCTCCAACCAACCCTCGGCCGAACACAACGTCATAAACGTCATATCGGGACCTGATCCTGATATCAGTACTTAATTGTTGGTCTATATTTTCCAATGACATTAGCATCGCATCTCTTTATTTTTAAAAGCGCAACCACCGCTTTACAAGCAGGACATACAATCTCAGCTGTGCATACCTCCCTATCCAGTACCCATTAAACCATTGCACTTCGTTTTCGAATACCGGCATCATGGACTCTGCAGGCGCAAAGTCAGCCATGTCGAATGACATGCAGGAGCTCACCCAGGGGAAGGAGGACACGGGCAACCAGATCCGGGGCCACAAGGCCAACTTGTCCAACCCAAGTAAGACGCTTCTTCTTGCTTGAGTCTCTTGTTCAGGGGCTCGGCACTGACAGCATGCAGATACCAGCGAAGAATCCAAACAGACCAGCAAGCAGGCCTTGAAGGAACTTGGAGGCGATGACACCCTCGAGGACCGCCGTAACAACCCCGTCAGCAAGAATGCCTCGGAGACACTCTACGGTGGCCGTGCCACTGCCGGTTGAGAATTGACCCCGGGACAAGGCACTAGAGCAAGGGACGTTGTGTTGAGTGGTATTTTGTAGTGCCATATGAGCTTTTCAATTACAGTCATGCGTAACCTGATTCTTATTCAACGATTTAAGGCTGCCCACCTGCTCGCCCCTCGGCAGTGACTTATCATGATCAACAGACTTTCTCCAACCTACCACCCCACTACACCAACTGACAATACCTCCCTACTGAAGCCACTGCTTGAACCAAGCAACCAGCGCATGATGGCCCCTAACCATAGCCGCCCTCTCCCCCCTTCGCATCCGCATTCCCCCGCTGCAAACACCCATGCGTCACGCCCGGAAAATGCTGATAATCAAACGGCACGCCACTCTTCTGCAGCGCCGTAAACGCCAGCAACTTCAACTCCGCCGTAAACACCTCATCCAACTCGGGCGCCAAAAACTGCACCGGCACCCTCAACCCCTCAACATCCCCCGGCACCAACATACTCGGATGACCCACCGCCACGCAATCCACCAACCCCCGACCCCCAAACTCCCCCGCAAACTCCTCCCCCCCGACCCTCAACGCCGCCCACCCCCCATAACAATACCCCACCACCCCCACCCTCCCCCCCTTATACACCTCCCGCAACACCCTCGCGTACGCCAGCACCTCGGGCTCGCGCACCTCGCGCGCGTTGCGCGCTTTGAGGCCGGGCATGTCCAGCTCGTGGAAGCGGCCCGCGAGCGCGGCGTCGAAGTCGATGACCTCGCCGCCGAGGAAGTCGGGCAGGTAGACGGTGGCGTTGGTGGCGCGCGCGAGGGCGTCGGCGGCGAGGCGCGCGTTGGGGAACGTCCAGCCGAGGAGGTCGTGGATGTAGAGGATGGCGTTGGCGGTGGTGGTGGTGGAGGGGGGGTAGGCGATGTAAGTTGGGTTGGGCACGCCGTCTAGGGTGGTTTCGGTGCCGGTTGGGGTGCCCTCCCAGAGGGAGGCTTGCAGGCAGCAGGTGGAGAGTTGGGGTGTGCTGGTGGTGGCCATGTTGGACTTGGAGTTGGAGTTGTTCTTGGGGTTGTTGTTGTTGTTGTTGTTGTGAACTGAAGGGAGAAGCTCTGATGTGTGTTCTGGGGATGAGAGGGGTTTGGCATGGTGCAATTTATAACATCCCGCCGGATGCACTTTCGTCCCGGATGTACCGTCACCCACCCGCCCTTGTCCAATGGATGATTGTCGCTGGCCGTCATCGGACTGGTGATTCCCGGAGTTAAGCACCCGCTCTGTCCGAGGCTCACAGCTGGGATAGCATCACCGAACGTTGACTAGCACGCCGTGCCCTTGGGGGCCGCATTTCTCTCGCGCTTCGCGTGTTTGAGCGACCGACCATATCGCAAGACGGACGTGCTTTGTCTGCGGTGTGGAGTTTACCGGAGACCTTCCCGAACCGAAATCCGTTCATGCAGCAAGGACTCGGAAATATCGTCGACGGACTTAACATCTCATGTTTGGGGGTTGGTGTTGGCCGTTGTCTCGTGTGTAAGGTAGTCGGTCTGAGGCAGGCAAGTTACATGTAGCCACCCTGGCGCGTAGTTAATCGGATCACCGTTTTAAAAGACGCGACAGGAAGACTCACGCGTCTCGGCAGCTTTAGCCTGATACAGTGATGCGATACAGTGATGCACTTATCCAACATGCTACGATTCATGGGATCCGGGTCCGAATGAGCGAATAATGTAGCCGGTTGGGACCGACGGGTCGCATCAACAGGGTCAAGTGGTCTTCTTCCCCATGACGCCGCTCATGCGACGTGCACAGTGAAAAGGAGGTTTGTTTGACAGCAAAAATTACGGCCGGAACGGCCCCGAAGGACAATTCATGACGGCTAGCACCACGATGTGCAATGCAGGCTCTCCGTCATATGGCAGGGTTTTCCTGATCTCCCCGCAATCAACCAAGGTAAGTATGAAGAAGAAAAAGAGAAGCGAGCAAATTCGGGCGACCTGGCCGAAAATTTATAGGCAGGCTTTGGCGGTCTGTGCACCACAACAACAATCTCATTTCATGTCATCGCTTGCACGTGTTTTTAATGTGGATCGCAATCACATATTCTGCCTGTGCCACGGAACAACCGAGGACGAGCCGAGGAATCTCACGGGCATCCAGCCGCTGTACACGTCGAGGAAGGTGGTGATGGCTTCGTTGGGCCGGAACTAAACTAGGACTCACACGTCTTCCTCAATTCCTTCAAAGGATTTGCGCCGTGTCATGTCTGCCACCCCCCAAAAGCGGCAAAGCCTCACGGTTCCCGGGTTCACCGTTCACCTGCCTCATGACCGGCAATCGGCTGGCTATCTCAGACCTCCAAATTTGACACTTTACTCCTTACTGAGATCGCAAATAGAAACACATCAAACGCGGTTCCATCTAGACGCCGAGTATGTCCACGCGTGCTGACATGGCCACAACGAGCTGGCGGTTGGGCCCTGGTGCCTCATGAGTTCCAATTCCAACGTTCGCGGTTGTTCGAGGGTTCAATTTATGATGAATCGTGGCTCTGGACTGTTGGTTAAGCCATCATATTTCTCACTGTATTCCAAACGGTTGAAAAGGGCGACTCTGCCCGTCCAAACTTGGCAGTCACACAGTAAGTTCTGTAACTACATCACGCATAGATACAGACCAAACCCAATCATCGTCGATCCCACACCCTCCCTCCGACGAGCAACACATTTCTTGTATGCTGTCATTCGGCGTTTCTGCAAGCCACAATCTCACCGTTTTACCAACCTCTTACTCACGAACCATCATCAACCCTCAGTCCCTGACCAACCCAGAGTTCTTACACCGCCCATTTCCCAAAACTGTACCCTCATCCCACCCAAAGTACACCGCCTAAACCGGCGCCCAGGTCAACCACACGTACTTGCCCTGCTCACTGTACGACACGAAATGCACATCTATCGCCGTCCCCGCCGCTGGGGGGCCCCCAACTCCCGAGCTGGCCATCAGCCCGTACTGTCCATACCGCAAACAGTCCTTGCCCGGGATCGAGTTGGGCCACGGCCAGATCTGTGTTGTGTCCCCCGCCATCGTTAGCATTTGATATCGAGCAACGGCTAGGTACCCGACTCAGCCGAAACCCATCCAGCCCAACCAGCCTCAAAAAAAAGACAAAGAAAAAGAAAAGAAAGAAAAAACAGGAATAACGCACCCCAAACTCAAACCCCACCACCCCCTGCTCGCACTTAAACTGCGCCCCATAGACATGGCACGGCCCCGCGGACGAACTCAGCGTGAAGGTCGGCAGGCTGCTGGTAGTGAGGGCCGTGCCCGTGAAGGTGCCGCACAGCGCGTTGTTGGTCGTCCACAGCCCGGCCGCGGTCAGGCAGCCGAGGTCGGCGTAGTCGCCCTGGTTCCAGAGCGTTCGGATCTGGCCGCGCCCGGTGAAGCTTGCCGTGGAGCGGGCGGTCGGCGGGAGGGGGGTGGTGGCAGGGAGGGCGGTGGTGAGGGTGGCGAGGAGGGGGAGGAGAAGGAGAAGGGGGTTGGAGGAGCGCATGGTGGGTGGTGAGTGGAGATTGGAGAGGGAGCGTGTGAGGCTTGGGATGTATTGTGATGTTGGTTTTGTTGAAGGGAGGTTGGTGGGAAAGAGGCGGGATCGTGAGAGATATATGTGAGGGCGCAAAATAGATGGGCTCGGTATTGTGTTAACAAGTAGCACTTAGGGTATGCATGTAATACCGGAAGACCCTAGCCCACACGTTCATCAATAATGAGTGGCATACGCCGCCGCAGAAGATCGTTGCATCCGGTGTACCCGTGGAGCGAGATTTGGTGGCTGCGGAAGCGTTACCCCTTTTGCTCCAAAACTGACCAATTCGGCGGCCAAGCTTACACTCTGTGAAAGCATCGTGTTCCGCTGACAAACGAGAAAGGTTGCAATGACCGAACCAGCACAGAAGCCACATTATGTGGACTTCTAGGTGGGAAGGTTGCCACCTACCGAGGTACGATCCGCTCACGGAACCAAGGGCGGCCTTCACCTTGTGACCTACATACCGTCTAGGGTACTAACACACAGGTAGCAGCAGACAGGAAACTCGGTCTGCAATATTTCTAGCTCAGTCCTGGTCTGGCCATCTGCGTACCGTGCGAGAGCACGTAAACATTGAACGCGACGAGCATCCTGAGTCTCTCCAATTTCCCTTTCTTTACGGTCTGTATCTTACAATAACACGAAAGACTCGGCTCCTCGAGTAACTCGACATCCCAGGGATTCACGTAAGTAGGTATGTACAACGTAGAAATCCATCTTCTTTTAGCTGTTCTACGCTTTCAGCCTCACCACCTGGTTCCGCTCACGCCATGCCACCCTTCCGAAAAGAACAAGAAGATATTGCTCATTCAGATTTGGGGTTTTCAATGTTGTCTCGCCGGTAGATAAATTCGGGACCTGGTTTCCCGCTCAGTTCAAGGCATACTGAAAGATTCGCAAAGAAGCAAGCGGCAAAGAGGTTGTGCTTCATCCATCTAGTCTCCAGCGTCGTCCAACTGGGGAGCTCTGATCATCAAGCTGGTCGGCAAGAGCACCCTCTCCATAAACAAAAAAAAAAGAACGGAATCAGTGTTTCTAAATTGTGGTGCTCTGCCCACTTCGGCCGTTGGCTAGTGACCAAGGTTGGCCAAACCCCCCTCAAGATCGCCTGAGCTTGAGGCACCAACGCCGGCGTGGTTTTCACTTTTGAGTTGCTGATCATCATGCCGAGCTGGCTTTTGTGGCGTTTTGTGATACTAAAAAACCCGTCTGAGCCGAGCCGGGTAATTCAGGGTCGAGGTCGGAATTCTCAGGATGATCGAGCTGACCAACCTTCTTTTGGCTTGGCCGAAGTCTAAAAGTCATGCCCGCAATCCGCGGTTAACGAAAATGTACCATCACACCGATCGTGACGCCCATTCTGCGGCAAACTGAAGAACTCGTTTTCTAGATCACAGATTGCTGGCCCCAAGACTACTAGCAATGGCAACTCCGCAGAGACTCCAGACGGTTCGCCGCCTCCAGACCATGATGGCAACGACGTATACCGGTCTGGGTACTTGGTACGAATATTTGTCTTTGAGTGTTTAACCATCAACTTCATGCTTACCCAGATTCAATAAATGAAGGTGTTTGCTTCACCCACAGTCGGTCATCGCGCTCGGCTTCACGCCCAAATACGTCGCCATGGCGAATGCCACTACTCACCTCTTTGCAAGATGTTTTGGTGCCCAAGCCATGACATGCGGCTTGCTGTTGGGTACTTCCGAAATGACCGCCTTCAGCTTCACCGCGTTCGGCCTAGCCATGATTCCCTACCTAGGTTAGAACTTTTGGTTCGGTATTGGTCCGGCAAAGGGCATGGTCAACAAGCTGATGTGGCTGGATTTTGTTGGAAACGTATTCTTCATGAGTGGGTCGCTTTGGTGTGCGAAGGTGCTGAGGGACGAGGCGTAGGGTGGGGGCCACCGCGGAGAGCGCGGGGAAGCTCAGGAAGGTTTGGAGAAGAAACACAGAACTCAGCTCCACATTCTCCTCGCCCCGCGTGCCCCGCACCAACAGCTCAGACGAATGTTTGAAGTCCATTTTTCCAGGTTCTCGTCCTGTGTGACGGGTTGGAGCCGATGGCTTCTTGTCTCTCCGCCCTTGTGCCCTTGTGACCGCTATTTTCGAGACCACAACCATGGTTCGATCACATTATAATAAGCCTCGCCGCGATCGGCGCTCTCGGGGGGTTGGCGCACTCCGTCGCTATTCTCGCAGCTTATCGCGGCAGACACAGCGGGGCTCGCCTTTCGCATTGCGACGGTCCTTTGCCCCCTGCCCCGCGCCGCATTGATATTTCCCAACCCACGATAGCAACAACAGCATTGCAAGTCCCCTTTATCCCGCTCTTTAGACAACCATACGAGTTCCCTCGCGCAAGCATCGGCAAGACGACCAAGCTACGAGACAAATCACTTCCTTAGCCCCCGACCCTGCCCGACCAACCTCTCGAGCGAGATCTTGCTAGCTTAAGCCGTGGCAATGGCCGAGCCGGTAAACACCCCGATGCCGCCGAGCACCCCAGTACCGGCATCAACACCACGCTCGATGTCTCCTGCGCCGCCCGTCCCCAACCTGTCACCGAACGCGACCATGTCTGCCATGACCAGGATGTTTCCGCCGGCCACGACCGGGCGTGCCACCCCGAAGCGGCCCGTAGTCCTTCATATCGGGGACCCGATCAAATACAACCCCGGGACCTACGCAGAATTCAGTGCCGAGTTTGAAGTAATTCGCCCGAGCGCGGCCGAGCGCGAGCGCAGCGAGTTCATAGTAGCCTTGAAAGAGCGCCGCTGGGGGGACTTCAGCGCCATCTTCAGGCCGTTCTGGGGCACAGGCGGCGAGATGGGCCGGTGGGATGCCGAGGTTATCAGCCTACTCCCAAATACGGTGAAGGTATTTGCCAGTGCCGGCGCCGGCTTCGACTGGGCTGATACCGAGCTGTTGGGAGAGAAGGGTAGGTCATCACTGCCCTCCCCAACCCCGGACTTACCACACAAGCACAAACCTTACTGACGGCGACAAGGAATCATCTACTGCAACTCGGGCCTCGCCGCCGCCGAAGCGGTCGCTGACTTCGCCGTCGCCATGATCATCTCCACCTTCCGGCACCTCCCCTGGTGCATGACCGCGGCAACCCTTCCCTCTCTCTGCACCAACCCATCCCCCACCGACGACGCCCGCGCGCACGAAGCCTTCCAAACCTGCCACGCCCGCGCAACCGCCGCAAGCCACAACCCGCGCGGCCACGTCCTAGGCCTCATCGGACTGGGCAACATCGGGCAACAGATCGCCGCCAAGCTCGGCAACCCCTCCTTCGGCATGCGCATCGCCTACCACGACGTGGTCCGCAAGCCCGCCGCCCTCGAAACCTCCCTCCACGCCACCTTCCACCCGACCCTGGCCAGCCTCCTGCAAGCCTCGGACTGCGTCGTCCTCGCCACGCCCGCCTCCCCCGACGGCCGCCCGCTCATCACCGCCGCCGCCCTGGCCCAGTTCCGCCCCGGCGCCCGCTTCGTCAACGTCGCGCGCGGCTCGCTCGTCGACGAGACTGCTCTCGCCGACGCCCTCGAGTCGGGCCATCTGTCGGCGGCCGCGCTGGATGTGCACGCCGATGAGCCGCGTGTGCATCCCCGGCTGGTGAGGCTGGCGACGCAGCTGCCGAGTTTTGGTGGGGAGGGGGGTGAGGTGGTGGGCGCCGGCGTGGGGGCGGGGAGGGTGATGCTGACTTGCCATAATGCGGGGGGCACGGTGGAGACGCACGTGGGGTTTGAGGAGTTGAGTATGCGGAATATTTTGGCGGTGTTGAAAGGGGGGGAGGCGGTGACGGCGGTGAATTTGGCGAGTTTGAAGCGTTGAGGGCTGCTGCCGATGGTTTGGTTCGTGGGTGGGGTTCTGTTGGGGGCGGAGGGACTTTGGGGGTTGCTGTCCCCGTGATGTTCTGTGTCGGGACCGACATCGAGCGTCGGGTGCGAAACACGACGGAGGGTGGTTGAAGATTCGACAAAGACTGGGTAGGATTTGAGGGTAAATGCTATGAAACACAAAGGAAATGCCAAGGCTGTGGTTTCTATTGGTTTCTTTTGGCTGGGGGATGGCCGACATTGACGCAGGGCGGGAGATCAGGGGTAGAAGGAGCCGTTTTGGAAATGTTCATGTATGTAGAAATACCGCCACGCTGGCTATGCCGCTAGTGCTTGAGTTTCCTTGGTACTAGTCTTGCGTGTCTAACCGTATGTAGATAGAATCGAACATCAGATGGCGGGCAGGTTGGGTCGCCAATCCGGAGTTGCTCCAAGTGTTGGAACGCCTGTTTCTTCCTTATCGTAGGAGCGTATTGTACGCCGTTGACGCCTTGAAATTTCGTCCCCAAGGACTAAGTAGCTAGGTATACATGAAATCGGAATCCGCTCGCTCAGAAAAAAAAAAAAAGGACAGAAGAATAAACAAGAAGACAATATTAATGCCCGTAACACCCCGCCACCGCCCAAGACTCCTCTAAACCCATTATCCGTTCGTTACAGCCCCCATACCCGAACTCGCCTGGGCATCGTCTACCGGTGTGTGGGTCCGTTGTCTCCCATCTCCACGGGGTTGTTTTGTTGCCCCGGCGCCACATTTGTGTTGTCCAACTCAGAAATCGGCGCGGGTGGATGATAGGGCCCAGGGTACGGCGCGCCGGGGTAAGGGGCATACGCGCCGGGTTGCGGCTGGTCTGCCGGCTTGGAGGGGTCATAGTACGAGTGCCGCATATCGTAGGCACCGGGGGGTTGCGGCGTTGTGCTGCCCAGGTACGGGGTCTCGGGATACGTCGTGGAGCCGATCGTGCTCGGGTTGTAGTACTGACCGCCCTGGTTCATCTGGGGGGACATGTGGGAGGGCGGATACCCGGAAGCCGGAGGCATGGGGCTGCTCGGGAAGCCGGCATCGCCCGGCGCAACGGCACTATAGGCCGTGTTGCCGCCGACGACGTTGTTCTTCTTTTTGCGCGAGCGGATCATCACGAAAGCAATGGCACCAGCGATCAGCGCAAGGCCGGCGACGCCGCCCACCACTCCGCCGACGATTGCGCCGGTGTTGCTACCGCCCGTCTCGGAAGTCGGGGGTTCGGTTTCCGTTTCTCCTGGCGCTGGGTCGGTCGTCCCCGAGGCGGTCTCGCTGGTTGACGTTTCCGATGTGCTGGTGGTGCTAGAGGTGCTGACGCTAGTACTTTCGGGGCCCGGGGGCGAGCTCAACATGGTGATAACGGCTCGCTCAGTGTAGCATCGGTACATGGACTTCACTGTGGCGCCGGGCCAGAGGTACGTAATGCACTGGCCGATGCTCTCAGTCATGCTGATACGTGTGTTAGTCGAAACCAAGGATTACAGACAATTTCTGATTTGTTTCTCACCAGCATCCGGTTCTTGGTCCAACGGATTCGCAAGCTCCGTTTTGGACCGCTTGATAATCGAGGCATACGGTGAAGAATGGGTTGTCCCCCCCAGAGGATGTGCAGCCAACAACCTGGTCCGTGTTTGTTGCGCAAGTATGCGATGCTGGGCAGGTAAACGGCACGGCTGCAGAATGTTCATTAGCGGGTCCCTTGACAGGGCAGGATCAAGAAGACTCACATTCGCTATTAGCACGCCATCCACATGTTGTTTCGTCGACCCAAGTGTTGTCTGACTGCCGCTTCAACCTAGCCCAATCCTGTCTCCTCCGCGCCAGCTCGAATGACGGGCCTTCCGTTGGCCTTGGTGTCCACCCATTTGCGCCGTCGTGGTCGGATGCCCTCGTCTCCCGCGGCAGTAGGTGAGCTACTTCTCCTCCACGATAGTCAAGATCCTGCCCGAATGCCCAGTCCGCGCATGCGAGATGGCCCGATGCGGCCAGGAGCCAAATCTGCGACCGCATGACTGGTGAGTATCGGCCTCCTTGCGAGGATGTTCCCGCCTGATGAAGGACAAGTCGTTGGGAGTTGGCGCCGCGATGCTTGAGTTGAGGCGGGTCGGAATCGGCGAGGGGGTGAGGGCGGTGATTGTCGAAATTGACGTGAACGGGAAAGCAGCAGCAACGAAGAGGAGGATTGCCGCGCTATTTCTCGCATTGCACCATGTAACGGGCAAGACGAGGAAAACCGCCTTGGACAGGACCACCCGCTCGGGATCCCGTCCCGTTCGTGGCTAGGCTCGCCCAAATGCTGACGGGAGCAGGGGTTGACTGCAGGGGTTTGATGCCATCCTTCTCGCGCTCGCTCGCCTGTCGAATCAGGGCCCCTTCCTCCAGCCATCCCCGGCCAGATCCATACGAAGAGCTCTTCGATCATGGCCTGCCTGTCTCACCCAACGACCGCCGATAACGTTGGTTAGATGCTTCATCCGGTTTCAACATCGGAAAGAAAGATGAACCCTTCAAAGCTTGTTTTGATCGCGGCCCGAAACTTCAACATCCCATTTTTATCGGATGGGCAGCACGCGACGAAGCAAGGTCGCCAGGCAACTCTGAAAGAGTGTGCCGTGCCCACTGCTGATGTGACGGTTGCAATCCTGGCGGCCCTGGGCCATTTCGCGTGCATTGGGGCTCGGGGGGGCTCGGGGGGGTTGTTCGTGGTCCTCTCTTTCTTCCTTGTAAAAATAGGAGTGGGGGCATGCTGACCAATGGCTTTCATCTCAAATCGTGGGGAATTGCCACTGAAAGCCAATGATGGGTGCAGCTTGCTCAGCCCTGGTGGGACCGAGCATCCACTTGCCCCGCGACAACATTCGTCTGAAACTTGAAATGGACATGCAGAACTTTAAGTGTTGCCTAAAAAATTGGGTGGTCAACAAAACTTGTCGCAAAAGACCGACATGCAATTTTGACGTCCGTCCCCTGCTTCGTATCGAACCCCCGATAGCTACGAATATTGTGTACACTAGCACACTCTGGAATGAACATTTGAGACTATGAGGCAGCGGTTGGGAGAACGTGAGTCCTATTCTCAGCTCTGGCTGACGGAGCCGAGCCACGACAGTTCTGAAACATGCCGCCCCAGTAACCAATCACAACTTCCCGCCCAACGGCTTTCTTCGGTCGGCTTCAAGAACACTGGAAGATGCAGGACACAAAAAATTTAACTACCGAAATGTGCCACATTTGCTACTCGCGCAGTGACCTCTCCAGCCCACCAAGACTTGAACGAAAACGAAAGGTCATCCGACAACTTCCGTAAAATGACATCCGACGCTCCCATAAGCGGAGAAGATTGTAATGTTCTACTAAAGAGTCACAAAAAAGCGCAACAAGACGTCTATTGCCCCGTAAAAAACACCGACCCGTGTCTTGCCCACAGGCCGGTGTCGGATGCCTCGATGCTCGGCCACCCCTAACCCCCGTTTTCTGCTCCACCACAAAACATTTTCACGGCGCAACACCGAATTGGCGCATCATGACGAAGCGGGAGCCGGGGTAAACCCTCACTGACCATACACCAAACCACCATCTTCTTGGCGTTGGCGACACAGACGGTGACATCGACTTTCTGTATCAAAAACCTGGGCGATTCTTCCCAAGTTTCCGTTAAGATCAACTCCCATCAGGCGTCTCAACAACTTTTCACGTCATCAGACATCCCACTCAACAACACTATGGCAGACCCTTGTCGCATTCTCGTTATGGCCAGCGGGAACGGCTCGAACTTCCAGGCCCTCATCGACGCCGTCACTGCCGGCCGGATCCCAGATTCCAAAATCGTCCGCCTGATTGTGAACCGTGGGAAAGCCTATGCGACCACGCGAGCAGACCTTGCCGGCATCCCATGGGAGTATTTCAACCTGATCTCGCACGGCTTTCAGGCCAAGGCCGAAAAGGACCAACAGAAGATCCAAGAATCTAGGGATAGATATGACGCGGCGTTGGCGGAGAAGTTGTTGCAAGGTGACTTTAAGCCAGACCTCGTGGTCCTAGCTGGTTGGATGTATGTGTTTGGCAAGCAGTTCCTCGACCCCATCGAGGCTGCGGGCATCAAAGTCATCAACCTCCACCCCGCGCTACCAGGTATGGGCTCCTTTTCTGTTATCGTTCGGCCTCGTGACTGATCGACCGGAAGGAAAATACGACGGCGCCGGGGCGATTGAGCGGGCCTTCAACGACTTCAAGGAGGGCAAGCTCGAGAATAACAAGACAGGCATTATGGTTCACTATGTCATTGACAAGGTCGATCGGGGCGAGCCGATTCTAGTGAAAGAGATCGAGTGCCGTGCAGGAGAGGAATTGCATCAGCTCGAAGAAAGGATACACGCACAAGAGCACGAGCTGATTGTCGAGGCCGCCGCAAAGGTAGCCCGGGAGCTTGTGGCCCAAAAGAACAAGACCCAATAGACATTTTCGAATTCCGGAGTTTTGTTTGAGCATCGCACACTCCCACGCACCCCCTCCAAAAGCGCCACTGACCAGGCGGACTGCTGCCCTGGACATGCCGAGCGATGTGACTAGCTCCATGTCGCCGGTAGACCTGGAGTTTTCAATCTCCTACTGTATATGTGCGGTTAGGAGCCTTTTCCCAGATGCAGGGATCATGCATGCTTCGGAACTTCGTGATGATGCATGGCTCGATAACTCAAATCTGCCATGTTGTCGTGACGGTTTCGAGAGATCGAGAATCAGTAACGGCCCGCCATTGGTTCAACATGATTGAGGGGACCCACCATCTGCCTAAACCTATCAGTGGCTTGCAGGCAGCAACGCGGCCAAACGACGTCAACGCGCTTTCCTCGTCGATGATTAAAACCCAAGCCAGAGCCTGAGCTCAAATTTCAAGCTGAACATACACAAGTATTTACCTCCCCATTTCTTGGAGAAAAAACCACATCCGCCGCAAGCATGTCCGGCACAACCGTGGCTGCAATGGATCCTCAGCTCGGTTCCGGCCTAGTTCAAATACCATTGGAGGTCCTAATCCGAATCACCCACTACATCTCAACCACCGATCTTGGGAATGTGCGATTGAGCTGCAAGGCCCTGGAACAAGGGCTCTTCAACTTTTTCTCACATGAGTTCTTCCGCAAGAAACAGTTCATGGTTCTCACAGAGAGCCTACAGGCGCTGATCAACATCTCCAAGCACCCAAATCTGTCACCTTTCCTCAAGCATGTCATCATCGCTACCGATCGCCCCGCCCCGCAGTACTATAATTCAAGTAGGAACAATGAATCGAGGGCCCGCCTCGAAGTTGCCTATGCAGATCAGATGCAGCTGATGGCCGCCGGGGGGCTCCGAGATATGCTCGCCGAGGCGTTCGCTAACCTCCCCAACCTGGAGACAGTCGACATCCGCGACTTCAATTCTCCAAGCCGCAGCCGTGATGGGAGGGGAACTGAATGGAGGAGTTGGGGCGCCAATACGTTGGCGGCGTCGACTGGTAACCCCGTTACCACCGGCACCCGGAATACCCAGGACCCCTACCTTAGCCAGATTTTCAGCGCTGTTACTGCTGCCCTAGCCGTGGCACAAGCCCGCCCAAACAGCCTGGAGGTTCTCACCAGACCTTCGGCAAGGTCAGGTTTTATCTCATTCACACTTCACGACAATGCCTTTTACATCCCGCCGCGCATGGAGGCAGCGATATCGCCGGTCCTCGCCAACCTGAAGTCGCTGCACCTCATTTTGGGCTTGACAAACAACGCAAGGATGAGGCCCTTCATGTTCCAAAAGTTCTTGTCACTCACCATCAACCTGGCCTGGTTGCGTATGAATTTTAAGGATTCGAGCTGGGATGATCAGGAGGAAGTCCTCTCTTGGTTGGCCCTCAAAGACGCCCAGAAGCCTAACGCCTCGTTCGACATGGCCCCCATCCAGCTTCCCCTTGAGCGTCTCGACCTGGGAGATAGCGAGCTCAAACCAGAAACAGTACTCAACCTGGTCGTCAAGTTTGCGCCTACCTTAACCTCGCTCTACCTCCGGAGGGTGTGCCTGATCAACGAAATCAGCGACCACACGACGACCAAGATCAACCCCTGGGACCGTTGTCTGACCGTGTTGTCCAAGGTGCGCGGCCTGAACCTGCGGACGCTGGACCTCAGCCAAATCGCCCATCGGAACAGCGGGTTCAGAGGTAACGTGCCGTTTAAGCCCACAGGGGACGCGCCGGAAACCCGAGATTGGACTTGTTCCACCAACCTGGTCACTTTGGACAAGGCTATCGCGCAGGCGATTGCAATTATGGCCCCCGTATGGCCACAAGAACCTGACCCGGATCAAATGGACGGTATGTGTGCACCCCGCAATATGTTTCCATTTTTCGTTCCTGACAAGATCCGCAGAAGATGACGAAGATGAAGGCGAAGACGAAGACGATGATGATAGTGAGGTGTCGAGCGATGAAGAAGGAGGGGATGAGGGTGACGGTGACGCAGACAACTAAATGTCGACAAATACATCATTGTCTGACCCGACTTTTGGACGTTTTCGATCACTGCCATGCCCGTAGTCGCAGCGAGGAGCGCACCGTTTCAATAAATACCGTGCCCGACCAAACTATTTATGGCCGGGGGAAGGTTAACGCCGGGCGGTAGTTTGGTTCACGCAGAAAAGAGGCGGGTTGGTTGCCTCAAAGCTATTACACCTTTTTCGCAACTCCAACCAGTTAGCTTGGTGGCCACAGTTCCGGCGGCATGGCCGAGCTCCTCCGTGCGTCCAAGCGCTCATGGGTTTGGTTCTTCGCGCAGATGGGCAAGGTCATAACCGTCCGTGGAAATGCGCGCTGCCTGGCCTGCTAATTTGCACAAGTTCCACGCTTTATGGGCGTCAGCTTCTAGCCGAGTCGATTCAACGATATTCCTGGAACCCATGATTCAGCTCCGAGGGTTAACGTGGAGGGAAAAAGCTTAGCGCAAAGGAAAAAAGCTTAGCGGGAAACGAAAAAGCTTAGCGAAATTGATCTAGAACCAGGAACTGCCTAGTTCCGCCACCAGCCCGACATGGCATGATGACTTCAAAAGGGCAGCAGCCCTTCTTGGAGACGAACTCAAAGGCTCTTCTTCAAGTTCTCACCAAATTCTCTCCCACTGTCGCCTCACGAAACCACAACCACAATGAAGTCAACCTTCCTCGCCGCCCTCGCCCTCGCCGGGGCCGTATCCGCCGGATACCCCCCGTTTCACCAAGTACGAGGAGTGTGTCGCATACTGCGACAACGACAAGACCTGCCAGTCGGCCTTCTTCGACACCATCTCGGGCGACTGCCAATACCACGACTGCCTCTACGGGCTGACGGCCCCGGACAGGTTCAAGACATACATCAAGCCCGGTGCGACCGACTACTGTCCCGGCACCAGCCCCACGGGAACCTCGACGATGGCAACGGCGACTTCGACGGAGGTAGCAACGTCGGCGACACAGGCAGGGCCCGCGTCGACCGAAAGTACGGGCGCGGCGCCCGGGTGGGGGGCTTCGAGGGGCGGGGCTGTCCCAGCGGTTGCGGCGGCTTGGATGGCGGTTGGGCTTTTGGGGTGAGGGTGGGAAGGCTCAATCGATGTCTTGGGCGGCGCATAAGGGGTTATGGGTGAGCATTACGATGATTACGTTGCCAGTCATATGAGGTTATTGCGACGCTAGAGTATAGAAACAATCCCGACTGTATCGCTCCCCGACCGCGCCTCCATGGGTGAAGCAACTTGAGCAAGTGGGTGGCCTTTCGCGTAATAGGGCTTGATATTGGTCCTGGCGTATCACCGATGTGGGCTCCGGTCAGCATCCAAGCTCAGTAAGGCAAGCATCAACCAATGATAGGAGGCTGGCCGACCTCAGATGCAAAGGAAGAAACTTGTAGCGCCACCAACACACGGAAATACCAGAGGACTGACTAATGCATTAGCACGGTTTGATTCTATTACCCCACAGTAGCATCACGAGAAGAGGTGCTGAGGAATGTTCATGCGTGTTGACGAATTTGTCAGCATGCCGAGAACTCAAGACGATCCATACGAACTCTGTGCTGGTCCTCCCATTCTCCGCTATCTCCGTCTGAGGGGAAGTATAAAGTCGCCGTTCCCACGCATATATCATCACAGCCATCAATGACCAAGTCGTGGCTCCAAATACACCCTCCCTCCAAGACAAGCTTAGACTCCTTAGTTACTAAGGTACAAGCAATTCACAAACCAACCCAACCTACTTCCCACCACCACCACCACCAACAATGACACCCCCACCCCCCACCTCCATCCTAATAATCGGCGCCGGCGAACTCGGCACCGCCATCCTCGCCGCCCTCGCCGCCCACCCCGCCTACACCACGCACCCGCACCCTCCCAAACTCGCCCTCCTCCGCCGCCTCTCCACCCTCACCTCCACCGACCCCGCCACCGTCACCTCTCTCACCGCCCTCACCGCCCGCGGCATCACTCTCGAACCCGGCGACTTCACCTCCACTCCTGGTGCCGGAACTCGCGGCGGTGTTCAAGAAATATGACGTGGTGATCTAAGCGGGCGGGTACGGGTCGCCGCTGGGGACTTTTGTTGCGTGTCGCTGAGGCGGCGGTGCAGG